TGGAATTTATAATAAAAAAGTAGTAATGATAATATGATGAATCACACTTACAAGGAGTGTGAAAAGCGTAGCCATTAAGGCGAAAAATAAGAATACGAATGTGGAAAACGTTGGCAAAATGCTGCTCACAGAAGGTGTACGATCTCCCAAAAAGTTGCGAATGTGCCTCCAGCTAAAAAAGCTATAAAATTAATACGAACGAAATTAAAAGCGTATGTCCATAGAAAAAAGAGAATCATGATAGCTAAATATCTAAAGAAACCAAACAACCACCTCACCTGTAAGCGACCCGTACGAGCATATTGATGGCATTTGCAACTATGAAACCTGCAGCTTTCATATAAGTACACAATGTAAAGGTCACCATGAGATGAGCGATGGCCGACACAAGCAGAAATCCTCCATGTGAAAACACCTGTAGACATTGTATATTCAATTATTGTTTTATTCCAATCAGAAACTTCAAAACTGGGTTAATCCAACGAGCCTGAAGACCAAAAAATAATTGAAATTAATAGCCAGTAACTCTGTGAATCCCACGGTGTGAGCCCCCTCAATGACGCGACCCATTTTTTGCTTGCAAAACTGCTAAAAAATCCATCGATCTGAATCGCAACATTGACATCCAGTTGCTTTTCACGGGTGGCTTTGTTTCTCCCCGGGCCCCCACGGCAGTAGTTCCGCGGCGAACACCGTACCCTACCACAGGAAGTACAAGTACTTTCCTTCACAGCGCGCGATCAGGTGCGGCAAGCGTGACGCGATTTTCGAAGCACCCACACCTGGTTTCCACCAATTTGACTACTAGCATGGCATTGATGCCATGTGCACCCGCTCCTCTTAAATACGTCCCCCTTGAAGCTTCTGTTCCTTTTCCCTTTCCACACCCTTTTTCCTTCCCACATTCTGCTTGCTTCAGGTAATCAGGGAACACCTAATGTACCTGAGAATTGCTCATCGTTGCCATCGCGAAACATTCGGTGATACCATTGACGGCTAATATGGACAAATATACGCAATAGAGTGACAACAATACCGCGCCTGTAATACTACTAATTTGGTGTATTGGCATGAGTGAAACTCCTTTACAAACCTCCATTATCATATAGAAGTTGTCCGCCATAAAGATACACAGCTAAAGGCGAGTATGGTATCCCGAATACCGAAACTACTATTCCAGCAACGCAGGCCACA